AAAAAAAGGGGGGAAGGGGAAGAGATATTAATCCCCAGGATGACCAGTAGGAACACATTCGTACAGCATTATGTCAACGAGAGTCAGTTGATCAGATGAAAATGCTGGTCCACAGATTGCTCCAATTTCATCCTGTTCCCTACTTTTATGTCATAATAAAAAAATGCTTTCAAATGAGCTGATGTAGGTAACAGCTCTTAGCTTGTCAAAGCTAGGGATCCTTAACCTAACCTTGCCAAACCCCTGGATCCAGGGGGGGGGGGGGGAAAGAGTGAAGAAAAAAAAAAAAAACTACTAAATGTACAAGATTATAGTGGTACCAACACTTGTGGATATGAAGCATGGTTGTGAATGCTGCAATGCAAAAAGGGCTGCAGACAACGGAGATGTGAAAGGCCAACATGCGGTGTAAATATTATGCAAAGGATTTTTGTGGAAATTTAGGTGTGGAGTTCCTACAAGTATTATTCAGAGGGCTGAAGAGGAGTTATTGAGATGAATTAATCATTTAGAGAGGTGGAGTAGTATAAATCTGTAGGAGGGGAGGGGGGGAGGTAATTATCAAGAGCACAAAAACCACAAGGTCAGAGCACAGATAGGAGGGGGGGGGGGTGTGCAAGGGGCCTAGATATGCAGCAGGCATGTGAGCATGTTAAGATTGTTGTGAATGGAGACTTAATGGCTTTTGAGACTGGACAAGCTGTTGAACAGGGTAATATTTTGTGAACAGATAATTAATACTGTAATCAAGAAATTACAAACCTACAAGGGTCTAGCCAGACTCGAGTCCTGGAGGTTGGAAGTACAAAGCCTGCATGTTGAAGGAGGGGTTTGGGATATTAGCTGTTTGGAGCGACATCTAAGCCATAACATCTGGGCACCTCTGCAAAGACGGCAATAGTGTGAATAATGGTCACCCTGCCTCTGTAGGATAAGGATAAGTTTATACTGTACTGGTAAGTACAGCATTACAGCATGAACAAAAAGCAAAACCTCTCATAACTTTCAGCCATTTAAAAACTAGACAAAACATGGAAGCAACAGACTGGTTGTCTGAAGCATAATGGTTCAATGACTTGCCAGAGCAGCCATGTCAGGGACATGGCTTTTCATTGTTCCCCCCATGTTGTACGCATTTCATGCCAATTTGTCAGAAATCAGCAATATCTAGTACCCTCTTAACCAGAGTCAGGAGTCACTATCCAATTCTTGATATTTCTACTGCAATGACTAATATGTAGACAACTGCTATTTCATATCTTATGGATGTACTAATAGTGATACTTAAAATACAGCCTCTTATCACTTAATGGAGTTCCGTTCCTAATACAGTGTCGCTAAAGAGGAGCGTAGTATAACGGTAGTGGTTTATGGCAAACCATCTTCGATATTGCTTTAATGTCACCCTTGAACCATTTATAATATTCAATATGTTTTTAAATGTTATACAGTAGTGTACTGTATGCTGTAAAACAGAATAGAAGGAATCATATCTTACTATACACTTGGGTATGCATTACTGGTCAGAGCCTGTGTAAGTCGTCGGTAAATAGTACGTTGCCAAGCGAGGAGCGGCTGTATAGTATGTTTTCATAAATTTTTATCTAAGCCTCAAACTTTTACCTCAAGTCTGCTTGGTTGACAACCCAGGGGCACTGCAAAGAAAATCAGAACATTAAACATCTACAATTGGAAAATTTAAATGCCCCATAAACAATCTAATCAGAAAATGAATCGTCAAAACCATTACGACGGGGGCATTCTTTTCATCATTGAAACTTCCTTGTTCATGTTAATATTGCACAGATCAAATTATAAATAGGTATGCAAACCTGCTAAAATGTGATGTGACAACCTATAAAACAAGTCAAAACAAGAAAACAATGAAAACTGCTTAATATTCCTTCACATCTTTATGCATGTACTTCAATAACCAAGCCTATCATGGAAAGCACTAAATCACAAACAGTGCCATTGCTTTGCTAGTGGAGGGACATTCCATGCATGGTTTTAAGAAACCATAGGGCTCAAGGCTAGGAGGGAGAAAAACTGGAAGCTGAGGGGGGGGGACCCCCCCCAAGAGTTGACTCCCCCTTCCCTTGCAACCAGAAAGTAAAAAATGAAAATCTATTATCCCAACTAGGTGCAGGAACAAAATTAAAATCATAATCTAACCTTCCATTTAACTGGGCCAGACAAGAGGAAAGCTTGCAGTCAGACCTGCTAAAGAAAAATTAATTAGAACATTCAATCACAAAATATTTATTTTTAAATCTAAATAATTCAGTTTTGACATATTTCATGTATATCAAATAATGTAGGTATAAAGCATCATGATTATTCATTATTAGAACAATACAGTGGAACCTCTCTGTATTCCCTAGTCTGCATGTGAAACATACATTTCTTCTACTATAAAATTTATTTTTTGTTAATATTTCCATAAGTTATGTAAACCCAATTAATCCATTTCAGACACCCAAAAATATTAAACAAAAAATACATTTTATAGAATATCTAGTTTTACATACAGACTAGGGCATATGAAAACAGGTTCTGCCATACTTAGGAACGAAGACTATTTAGGTATTCCTGTAGTGATACGGCAATTAACAGAAGGAATATTCACTATTTAACGAAACTGCAATAACCACAATTCAAATTACCCATTAAGTTGCAACATTGCATACCCATCCCTCAAAATACAAACACTATGCCCAATCTCCTGAACTCAGTCTAGGCAGTTTCTGAATGCTACCTTGTACAAATACAAACAGCACATTCTATACCAAACACCACTTCTCTCCATACCTTTCCCTATCTGCTAATCCCCTCCTGAGTGCACGACTGTACAGGTACACCACCAATTTTCTGGCATCCCAGGTTCCAAAGTTTTGTTGAACCAACAGTGATCAACACTAACCCACAAGTACACACTTCCCGTATGTCTAAAACTCCATGGACTTAAATCCTTAAAGTGAAGAAACTGAAATTTTTTTGTTTAATTAATATACATTTAAGAAAATTTATTAATCAATCTGGAAGTCGAGAGTAACGTACTGAAACACCACCTTCCAGTTTTTCCCAACAGTTCAACTGTTTAATCTATATTGACTGGTTTAGGCTTAACACTACCAATGACACTTTCATATTTAGGCTTAACACTACCAATGACACTTTCATATCTTAGAAGCCATAACTAGGATTAAATTTAAGCAAAATAAGCTCACAAAAGTGAGGTACCACCAGCAAGTACAGTGTACAAACAACCTACATAAACACAGCTACACAAAGCCATGTGGGAAGCCCAGTAAATTGGTCTGACAGGTGCAGGAATTTAAAGTTCCTGCTAGTCATTTTGTCCAGACTAAAGATATTGGACCATCCACTGCCAAAAAATCTTATGTACCTATATTCAAATGTGCAAGTTTCTCCTCAATGCCAGGACGTCTTCCTCCAGGTTTCTCCCCCTCTTCATCCCTGTATCCCCCTCCCTTCTGTCACTCCCCTAAAACACACCTGCAGGATACTAAAATTACCTTCACCCCACTTTATTAGCATAAATTAATTTAGATTTTGCACTTTTAAAATAGCCTTATCAATATTTACCTCCAATACTTCTTAGTTGACAGCCCAAGAGCACTGCAAAGAAAATTGGCATATCAGAACATCTACATTTAGAGAATTTAATTTACTGTACTGTAAACAGGCTAATCAGAAGTCGATCGTCAATAACATTACAACTGGGCGGTAAGTGTCACCACAAAATTCATTTTTTCAGTTTTGCATAGAGCAAACAGTAAGGCAATTTGGTTCAGTACAAAGGCAAGGGAAGGAAAATTAAAATGTCATGAACCAAGGCACATCCCTAAAGTATCCTGGTTTCTAAAAATTAATTTTAATAAGAATTTAGATTCAACAATACTGAACAAAACCAGATAACAATGGCTACTAACAGCCAGTTCAATACTGGCCTAACAGAACTAATGGAAGGTAATTCAATGCTTCACAATACTTCGAAAATAAAATTTAAATGTTTACCTGATCATGTGGTGGCTGCTCTGCATTTCACAATCCATTTTCTGCAATGCCCCTCTTGAGATCTGTAAAGAAAGTATGGCCTTAAGTTTACTCTACTAGCAACTGAAAATGCAGCACTTGACAAAACCTTTTATTAATACAATGTTTTACCAAGCGGAGAGCTGTACGTTTTTAAGCATATGCTAATGTTGGGACAGGCTACGGCAGTATGAAATTCTGATAGTGCACCTCTTGGTTAACAATTGGTTTTCACTCATTGACAAGTTAATCATATAATCATGGGAACTGCTAGACCATTAAGGCCACACTTCCTAATTTCGGCCAACTCTTATTTTTCAACCAATTTTTTTTTGTTTTTGGTGTACATTTAGAGGTTCATATGTAAAAGAATGTGACAGTTTCAGTATGATTGGCCAACAAACTGAAAAAAAATATTTTAGCGACTTCTATATGGCAACAAAGTATGACAAAATGCACTTCGAGTGGCACTTCCGACAATCCCAACCGTTAGAATACATCTGACACTAATTCGGATGCACATGTTTCATCTAATATATCTTTATCATGGAAAAAAAAAATACATTTGATAGACTTTATGCATTCACCAAAATATATCTGCCTTTTACCTCCCACATAATCAAAAATATTGATAATTCCAAAAAAAAAAGAATCACATTTTCAACACACTGTTTTATATTGTCAGTGAAAATCATTTCAATACAATCATTAATAATGGTGTACTTTAGCGAAATATGTGAAAAAGTTACTTCCGAGATATAGGCCTAGAAAAACGTCGGCAGGCCTACTGTCTCAAAAATTTTTTTGCGCGGAAATCGCGTTTTTTTCGGTGTATTTCTTAGTAAACTGATGTTCTAGTGCAGTTATCCTCTTCAAAACACCGTTTTCTATCACTCACATACCAAACAATACAACTAGGAGACGAGTAGTAACACATTTATATCGAAATATTGCTGGTGGACTCTCACTATATTATGGCCTATTTTATTCAGTCTAGAGTATATAACATGTTTGTTTTGTTATTTATAGTGTTTATTATATCATATTAGATCAATTCTGATAGATAAATAAGCCATATAGTTGATATATAAGCTGATATAAACGTAATAATGAAGTGATTTCACCTGGCACCATATGGAGGGGAGCATTGCCGAGTGTACCCAGGTGCTTCCTGTAGGCTAGAGTCTATTGATAAGCTCCACTTACTCTTATATGATGCCAAAATAATCTATTATATTAGAAAGATTAATGCAAAGAATAAGCAATAAAAAAAAGGAAAAAATTCAATATATAACTATGGTGTTGAGACAAGACGCGCTACCTAACATCGTTCGTTAACATACCTGATATAAATGACTATATTTTCTGTGTAAGAAACGTCTTAGAACATTGATTCTTGTACTTTGTGTTGACAAAAGAGTTAAGCTATTTTTCGTACATCTAACTCAATTACCCATAATTTTCGATTGTTGGTTCGAGCGCGCGAAAAGAATTGCCCCAGATTCTAACCTTCAGAGTGCTTGGGGAATGGAGGCAATAAGGTTAACAACCACTAGCATGAGAGCACCTCAAGGTTAAGAGCATGTAGTCTAAGAAATGAGAGTTAGAAAATTCTACATTTGCTACACATCAAAAGAAATGGAAAAAGAAATCCTGTACTGCATTTTAAATTCCACCCTCCCTTACATGGCAAAACAGTTCCTGAATCTGCCAACGTGGAGGAAAAAAGAAATTGTTCAAAGATTTTACCTTGTTTGATATTCAGCCCAATGATAAATCTTCTTGCTAAGAAAACAATCCTCTAATTTAATATTTTGTTTTTAAATAGTGCATAATTATTTAATCAGTATTACTAATCAAGTCGTCACCTTGGTTTTCGATAAAAGCAAAAATTTATGTACACTGACAATTTATCATAAACAATGCCAAAATTCAATTATCTTAAAAATTTTTTTACATTTAAGTGACCTGAATTACCACACAGACAACAGCATACAAACCTTCCCATTACAATATACTGTGGAACCTTGTCTTACGAGTACCCTAACATGTGTTTAGAGTTGAACTGTTTGGCCGCCACATAGTTTGACTCACGAATGACACCAAGCTCAGCATTGTGCACGTGTGTTAAACCTTTACTTGTGGAAGCATTTTTGTGTTGTGCCTTTAGTTTCGTGAAGCTTATTTTGCCAAATTTTCTTTTTAACAATGCGTCCTAAGAAAGGAAGTGCAACGGACATGTGCGAGAGATAGATATCAATAAATTAAAGAATGAAATCGTAAACATGGTGCGAAGGTGTGGGGACTTTGCCAGGCAGTACCAGTATAGTACGTACTTCTAACGATATGTATTAAATTCTTTCTGCAGAAAGAGTTGTTAAAGGCATAGCGCCAGCCCTGGATGGTACAATAATGCAAGTCCAACGATAAAGTGTAGCAGGAAGCCTATCTTTTCCCACTTCTCGCCAGAATCTGTTCTCCTAAGTTAATACGTACAGATAAATAAAACTGTAGAGTTGACAAGCGGTTTATGCATGAAAGGGGGGATATAAAAATACCGAAAAATAATTAAGTTAAAGACATGTGTAATGTCTGGATCTCTTTAGTGCAGGTCGTTTTTGCCATCCAGTGGCTTTATTCAATACAGATGCTAGGTCATAATAGGAAGTCAGTAGAATCTTTATATTAAAAGATGAGGTAATCAGTCCCTCAGCCTTGGAGTGAGTGTTCACTGCATCGTGCTGTGAACACTATCTCACATGGCTGAGGGAATGATTACCTCATCTTTTGGTTATAGTTCTATGGATTTCCTATTATGTCCTAGAATCTGTATTGATAAAGCCAACTGGATGGTGAACGCCTGCATAAAGATATCCAGATGTTTGCTCATGTGTATAACTTTCACAAGTGTTATATGAAGTTACTCTCTTTCCTTCCTCCCAAAAAGCAGGTATTATGCAGCCAATGGTTGATGGCATTTCCAATAGGAAAATTTATCGATTTATGAGCAAACCGGTTACGAGCTAAGCTCATGGAACAGATTTTAAAAACCAAGTCAGGTACTACTGTAGTTTCAAATGCGAAGGTTTGAGCTGCACTCTAATTTGATAACAAACTTATGTTTTGTTTACCGGATCAGGCAAGTACCTCGGTCTTGCACTTTCATTTCCACTACTGCACCTTGAAAAATTACTAACTGTATATATGGAAAACATTGTTCTGTAAAATACCCTAGATAATGTTTGTTCAGGTTATTGTGTTGTAAACTATGAGTGTATATTTGAACATTGCACCTTGGGTCATCAGGCACCAGTTACTTAGAAAGAGAAAATATGAAAATACAAGAAACCTTCGGAATTGGAGTAAATAAAATACCGGTGTGGGTGGCATTCGACGCTGCTGCCTTACGCGCTCATTTTCTGCCAACTTGGAGCTCTGTTCGGCAAGTACTGATGGGCAATAAATAATTTTTTAGGCTTAAAAACTCTCGGTTAAATAAAACATTTTGGCAAGAAAAAATTTTTTTCGATTATTTTGCGAAGCAGAACGAGTTTTCAGAAAGGGGCCTGCGACAGGTCAAAGGGTTAACCATCCTAACAAATTGCACCAAATATCTGAACACTTCCTCCATACCCAACTCTAATCTGCTTACCTCTTGCGATACACCTTCTCTAATTCATTACTTAATCTCTGCAAACCTCCCTCTCCCATCCATATTCATCTCTCAAATTACAATAATTTTTTCAGGCAGATACTGATATCAAAATTAGAAGACACAATCCTGATAGTGTACTTTGGATGTTGATGTGTGGACTGACAAGGGTATTACATCTTCATTTTTATATAGAGTAAATTACCATTTGTTGAGAGAAAATAATAAACTTACCACTGATAGGATATTAACTTGTCCTGTGATGCAACATCATTTCCTGTTGAAGAAATTATTTTAATTACATTTTCCTTTCCAAATCTTATCAGTACTTCCCTCAAAAATTAAGCCATCGTCACCCTTCGACAGGTTCCACAAAAAGATTTCTTTGTGTGTGTTTTTAGGGTCCATTCTCTGCCCCAAAGTTAAGAGCAACGCACCAATATAAGAGTAAAACTTCAGTATGGATTGTAAGGGGGAAAATGCGAATAGAGATTTCCCCCCCCCCCCTCCAAAAAAATAAAATATCTGTTCCCAGTACAGTTAGAAGAATTATTAGTATTAATGAACCCCCCCACCCCCAACTGGGATAACACTGATGTCAGGCAGTTGAACAGTGGTATACACGAAGAATCTGTGCGAAACTGGCCATGCAAGCAGGTCTACGCTTTCCTTTATTACATTCTTCCAACTGTACTCTATTGTTGGGATGTATTGTCCTTAGCATTTTCAACACTTATTCTATTCATACTTTTCATCCATCCCTCACCCCCTTCTTCTACATCATTCAAGTATGGCATATTCTTATCCTTCATAGGAAAGACTCCTAGTTTAGAAAAAGATGCTCAAGTAATATATGTACTAGGACAATAGAAAATGTTCTGATCCTGGTTATTATTCTTATAACGTGCAAGAGGCTTATAAAAAGTTTATATAGGAGGAGAGAAGTGCGGAGTGTGATACAGTGACTGAAGAATGCCATTTTTGGGCTGAGGGCAGGTGATATAGGAAGTCACATGATTACATTCTCTCCCCTTGTCCTCATCCCCAATATGGCATTCTTCAGGTTCACCATGCATTAATTTTACTCGCTCTGCCTATTAAATCTGCTTTTTTAACCTCTGTACATTTGAGTGTTAAATGTCCTAGGATCAAATACTATCGAGTACTAGCGTTTCCTTGTGGGTTTTTCTAATCACATTGCAAGATTGTACAAGCCACAAGTTAATTCTTTGCAAATTGCTAGAGGTAGAATGTAAGTGCTTACAGTGTATTCTGCCATTGCATTCCTACCTTCAGTGTAATGGGGCTTGAGGTCCATATGGAAAACAGGAATAAGTATATGTAAATAACTGCTAACTTGATCAAGGACAGGACTCTCGCAGGGTTAAGTTG